TATGTACATACACATATAATATTATACTCGCCGCCGAGGCTGAAAAAAAAAAAAAAAAAATGTGTATATATATATATATTAATGACGTCGGCGACGGCTATACATTCCGACGACGGACGGACGGACAGCATTCTCGTGCTGCGGCGACGGCGGACAGCTATCGGGCACAGTGAAGTCGTGTCAATACGTATGACTGATAGGGTAAAAAAAATAAAAAAAACAACCTGTTGATCCATATATTGTACGTATATTATTCACGTTTCGTATCAAAACACTCTCGTATCGTGTACGTGTATCATGACGTTAAAGAACCCGTGTGTCTACCCATAGGTAAATAGACGTATGCATGGACTGTCGTATTGGTGGTAAGTCGCCGGAGGATCTATCGATTTTTGTTTGGGTTTTTTTTTTTTTTCAATTTTTCTTTTTATCGGTATATACGGTTGTAATTATTGTTATATTATTGTAACGCGCGCGTGGCCGTATTCGCTTCTACGGCACGGCCTCCTACGCGTTGGCGTACAGTTCGAAATACCGTGCATAGTTTGCAGTCGTAGATATTTGTGGACTTTCGAAAACAACGTTCGGAGAAAAACCTGCGGTGGCCCAGTGACCAGTATAGGTGCGCGATGCGAATTGTGCGAGAGAAACAATGACGAGGACCAAAAGACGCACCGATTTATAGATATTTTAATATCGACGGTGGTTTTTTGTCAAAAGGGCGTACGCCGCACCGAAACAAATTTTTTCCGCGAAGCAAAAAATACCGTTTTTGTAAAGAAACAGCGAAACGGTTTTTAACGGTGTTTATCGTGGACTAAACGATAAAATTACTCGTACACGTGATAACCTTGTACACAATGTATACGAGCGTCGAATGCGGTATACGCCATTTTAACAAAACACCGTCGATACGGACACCGGCAATTATCGTTTAATCGACGGCCGCCGAAACAATTGTCTGCCGTAACGCGCGTCGAAAAGAAAATGGACCGCCGAGCGCAGCCTTCGAACGAACGCTTCGACGGGAGAGGTACCCGTCGGGCCTGCGTAGAGATGGACGGACGGCGCGAAAGACGACGCGAGAGCCTCGGCGGGTACACACAATGTTATCGAACGGAAATGGTAAAAAATTGTCGGTATACAGGTGGCACGAGTGGCGGCCCTCGGAGAGTATAGCCACGTCGGAAGAACGAAAAGCAGTTTGTAATTAAATTACGTCAGTCGAGTCGGACGGTGGCGACGGTTACGGCGGTAAATGCGATTGGGGCGCGTTTTGTTCGTTAAATGACTGGAACAATAACTAGGGGGCGAGACGATTAGATATATTTACCACTGATTACTGAATGGTTGAACGTCACCAGATGTTTTTTTTTTTTTTTCGTTCGTGGTAGCTATTATTACATTGTACCGACAATACGCGAGATACTATATATACATATATATATAATTAGACACTGGGTAACGATTAATAACGCGTCGAAAACATTTACATTGCGAAAAAAAAAAAATAACAAAACGGTCTACCCGTTTGTATTATGATAGATACGCGTCATTATGTTATTTGTTTAGGATTTCGAACGCGATTGATTATTTCGAAGGGCGGGACAGTCTCTACTCGAAAGGTTTCCATGCCGTTTACTCTGGCCGTTTATTTTCTTCGAACAAATTAATTAAGTAGGGATATTTGCCATTTCCCTCCGAACAATTTTTTCAGACTGAAATCAACGATGTCTGCTTCACTTCGAATATTAAAATCAATTATTCGATTACAAATCAAAAATCCTTACATTTCGATGCACTATATTTAGCTCACGGCAATATCGAAGCAATACAAACCGCGAAGAATAATTTTTAACTGTTATTAAAATCCAATTATTAGCGGGCAAAAAAGTTGACGAAATTCGGTCGAAAAAGGTATTTCAGAAAGTGGAATTTAACTTAATTTTTCAACGTATTAACTGCGTATTGTTAATATCTTGAAGTATCGGTTTGAATACAGCAATTTTCAAAAACACTCGCTAAGCCAGAATGCACGCATTTCTTATTGATACACAAAGATATAAACAATTACCATTAAGACGGTGACAATTCGGTAATTTGATAATAGAGGAAAACGGACAGTGACGGAGGAAATAGTTGTGGCTACGGCCATTTTGTAAAATAACGTGTTTATTCCGAGGGCTCGACGGGCCGCTTGGCTATATTATAATAGCCACGGAGAGTACGTATAAAATCGATTTTAGAGCTTAACAATGTTTGTCACTGCAGCAGTTCACAAACGCTGTTTATATTACACGGTCTTTATACGAGTTTCGAGTGTCATAATATAGGTATACGTTGGATTAAGAACCGCCTGCAAGTGTGTGTGTGTGTGTGTAATACTTGCTTTAAGTTTAAACAATTGCGGTTGTCGTCATTATGATATTGTTTTCCACGCGTGGGCCGTAACTTCCCGTGAACATAACACACATAGTACATACTACATTCCCGGCAGAGTGTTTGCATAGTCTATCCCGAGTTCGGCCCAAGCCGACTTGTAGCCGACGTGGTAGTTTCAGACGGTTTTTCGACGTTTTACAAAACTTAACATGCTCGTTGATCCAGACCTGATGCTGTTCCTGCCAATAGTGTCCCGGGTGTAAACCTAACAACACCTAAGCCCTCTTGAAGAGTCGCCGCGAATTTAGACGAAACAGAGGGGAAAACAGAACTTACCTGTCGGTCTAAACCTGCAGATTGCGCTCACAGGGTGTCCTAAATGTAGTTAGTCTAAAACGCGTAGGGCCGCAGTCGATGAAAACAACCACGACGGAATGCGCATTCGCAGTTACAGCTTGGGCCGCCCGGTAAAACGCGATCGAGAGTGACGTTTTCGGTTCCATACAGTGAGGAACACTCGATTGAATTGTTTTTTCTTTTCTTTTGCAACGTTGTAATATATAATAGTTTCCGTTGATCGATTGAGCGAGATATTCGGTACCGGCCTAGTTTTCGACTAGATTGGTCGACCGGAAATAGGACTTCGGTTAAACGGCAATGTGGTCGCGTCGCGCGTGAACTCGGTCTCCAATCGCATCGGTCGTTCGTGAATGCCCCCCGGAGTGTTTTCGACCGTCGGCCCCGGCGACAAAAGGCACCCGGCCGTTCGACGGCCCCGGGGCCGAACGCGGGTCGGGCGCGCGAACGCGCGTCCCGGCCGCGACCGGGCCAGGCGCGAGATCGCGTTAACCACCCGCGGCCGAGCCGGTCTCCGGCGCGGCCGAGATTATATTGTTGCGGTGTCGTCGGTTCGCGCGACGGCGGACGAGCCCGAACAAGCGGTTTCATTAACTGTGACAAACGCCGTTTGTTTCACTCGAACGATCGTTTGTTATTGAGGTATTCTCCCGCGCACGCGGCACGACCGCGTGCCCGCGCGCGCACGGAAAATAACAATAAACCGATCGAGCGCGACTCGCGCGGTTACGCGACGTGCGTCGTGCGACGTTATGCGTTTTTGTACGCGGTTCGAGCGGGACGCGCAACAATAACCGCGTCTCCCGGGGTCCCGATCACCGTTTCGGTTTCACTCGTAATTCGACCGCACGGACGTTCCGGTTTAGCGACACGCGGGCGTCGGCCGCGCCGTGTCCGTCGCCGTTCGCCGTACGGAAAACGCCGTCCCGCCGGACTGCAGAAACCGTGCGAGGTCCGCAATTATCGTTTCGACCGGCCGTAGCGTTTGCCGCGCTCTTGTTACGCAGCGTCGGCCCGGCGCCCGGTTTTCCGGGAGAAGTGTAAACGCAAAGACCGCGCGGACACCAACGCGATTGTCCGGCGGACAGCCGGTTTTCCAAAAACATTCCTGAAAAATAAACGGTGCGTTTCGCGGGCGCGCGTTGACGTACGTGTAACAGAACATCGTGTTGCCTTTAGCGAAAAATAACCGATTTTTAGCGTCGTTTCGGTTTTCAGCCAATCGGCGTACAAACGTAACCGCCCGCACGCCGACCGGCGGTAGTAAATCGTTATATTTTGCTACAGTCCGCGACAGTCAACTAAATCTCCGAACACCGTTACCGCGGTGTACGATCCGCGTTTTATAAACGTCGGGCTCCAGTCGCGATTGCGTCCGGGGACCCCTGAGAGCCGTGGCCGGGCCGACGCTGTTATATTATTATCACGTCGCGTGAAAACGATTAAACACTGCGAAATAACCGTAGAAATGTATGCGAACAAGAAAAACGCGCGGTTCGTGCACACTCGTATATTACGCGTTCGAAACATGGCGCCGGAACGGCGGCGGCCGGCTGCTGTAACACAGTCGGTCGGACCTCTCGCAATCGTCGTTAACGTCCACGCGAACCGCCGGATCAGCCGTCGCAACAGTTGTCGTGTTCGCTTAACGTGTTGCCGACTTCTTCGTCGAAAAACGTGATGAACTTCTGCTTGATGTCGTTCAACTTGCACCTGATCTGATCGCGGTCCCTTTCTCTCCGTCCGCAGACATCGCGACTCGCGGTTTTCTCGTCGCACTTGCCGCCCTTCGAATCGCGGTAAACGCTCGAGTCGCACGTTTTCCCACGGGGTTTCCGCCGACCGTCGGCACCGCGGTTTTCCGCCCAGCCCGATCCTCCGCGCGGTCTGTCGTGCCGTTGTCCGCATTTCGTACGGCCCGTTTCGGCGAGGCCGTTTGAATAACGGCCGGGCCGTCCGACGAGCGTTGCTCCGGAGGACGACGAATCGCGGTCGCGCAGACGGTCGCACGCGCACGCGCTGCTGGTGTCGTCTGACGAGCGATTCGCGCATTTTTGTTCGCGCAATATGTTTTCGATGTCCCGTAAACTGTTGGAGACTTCTTTGAGTTTGCGTACTACTTCCTTCGTTACACTCATGGTATTATTTTTTTTTCCAGATAAAATTCGAATGTAAATATTATAGTATTTCTTCTTTTTTTTTTTAAAACGATTTCAGCGCATAGTATTTTATTTCGTATAAGTATATCGGATAATTTGTTCGATTTTTATGCAATATTCACGGACAATTTTAATTCGATAGTTTTTTTTTACGAATATTTATTTATTTATTCATACATAAAAAAAAAATAACAATAAACACCGCGCAACGCGTGCGTTGTTGTTCTGTATTCAGCCACTTTTAATAAATTATTAACGCCAGACGTCAACGTCGGCTTGTAATAATCACGAATATCTTCGGTGACGACAGAATCCTAAACACGTGCGAAAAATATTTCAAGAGGCCCCGATAACTAAACAGAACCCATGTTCAGTCAAAAATTATGGAGAGCGTAGATTCTTATTTACATAATAAAGTATGCATTCGGTTTGACGACCAAACTTTGGCTCAAAATGAAGCGGTGCCACGCTTAATTTTTAAAAGAAGTCGCGGAACAAGACCTTGCCTTAGTATAGGGTTCGGCGCCGCTGAATATTTGTCGATGGAATTCGCTGCGAGCTTATGGCAATTTGCTGTACAAAATATTATAGTTAAGGTTTGGTGGAGATAACTAAACGTTATTCTATCTTTAGTGAAACTAAATGGTTATGCGAGAACCGTTTAAACTCGTGCTAAAAATTACTTTACATTCAAGTTACGTGACGACATTAAACGATTTTCGCATTAAAGTAACGGGCTATGAGGTTATTAAAATGGTCGATTACCTAGTTTACAAACATTTAAATGTAAAATTGTTCATGCGAAAAATTACAATACTTCCGAAGTACGCTGAAATTATAAAAAAATACCGAACATGTTTCAAGTCATTGTACTAGTAATATTATTTGACTAGGAAATAATACAAACGGCTTATTAATACTGATAACTATATTAGGTGTTTACTTGACAAATATTTACAATCGAACTCGAATAATTTCGACTCACGAGCAGGCCACTGTTAAAGGTGGTTATAGTTCGAAACGTAAGTCGGACCGGACTGTTTAGTTTATAATATTACATACACGAGTGATTGCAGGGGAAAAACGATACTGAATGAAGTTGTATCAGTAACGTTTTATTTGTCACCAAGGGAACCAGGAAACACAAATTTAAAAGAAGCGAAATTGCTTTCGTGGGCGAATTGTATAAATCTTCGATATACGGGGTATAACAGGACTGTTTGACATTTTTAACATTGTAGTTACAATGTAAAAACGTCAAATAGTCCAATAACGCCCTGCATGTTCCAAATAAATACCCTCTCGGTAAACGCGGAATACGCAACTTTTCAGACACGATAACGTCCAAGCGTCTTTACCAACCAAAAAAGTGAAAAAAAAAACAATAACGTATTTTTGTAGGACCTATAGCTTTTTTTGCTGCGCTCGTAATTTGAAATGTTTTAGGTACATTATGACGCGATCGTATTCAACGACTGACGTGTTTAGCACTTGTACTCAGTGTAGGAATCAACATAATTATTGCGCGTGTCCTTAAACACCCGGTACGTAGTGACTCACGCGTCTCATTTATGTTTTAAACGATTAGAGTTGCGCGTAAGGACTTAACAGAATAATATAATTATCCGTGTAATCACGTGTATTTACACGTGATATTATTATTTCGTATATTTGATTATAATATTACAATATGTAACTAGCTAACCTATAGAGTATTATGTATTGTGTATTTTGGTGCGTACCTATATTATTTACGAGACCTCTGCGCTGGGCGATTCGGGTAATTGCCATTACCCTGTGTACACAGGTTCGGTTAGTTTTATTTGGTAAACACGACACCTCGAGCTCGTCTCACGCGCGTCCGTGGGAACTGTCGCCGGGAAGACGAAATCGACACGTTTTCGCCGTTCGTCTTTAAATAAAAATAATAATAATAATAATAACAATATTTTTAGGTAGGTACCTAACCATTTTACGACGTGTCGGGCAAATATTGATTTCCAGTTTGCTGACATTGAGCAAACGACAGATAAAGTCCGTCGGTCTTCGCGACGACATAAAAGACACTTCTCCGCCGCATTATTATTATATTTTTTCGTGGGTATTCGGTGTTTTCTTTTCATGTGTCGCGTGTAATAGATTAAGCCTTGAAATAACCGAACATTATACAGGTACCCGTCTACCCACTAATAATAACAATAATTTCATAAACAAAAAAACATTGAAATCGAATTCTCGTCCGGCTAGTTACATTTACATATTTACGGATTGACCACGAATTTCTTTAAAATCTAATATTTTAGCCACGTCCGTTTTCCAAAAATGAACGGCGTTCGCGAAAAAGGGCGCAAGTAACGTTTTATCGAATTTTGCATCGTATACCGATTCCGTGTAGAATTTCGTCGCGGATCGATAGGCGACACTGAAATTTATCCGTCTCGTTTTTGATATCGTGCGATTACCACGCGCGTTTAGGCACAAGTAAAATTAGAAAAATACGTTAATGCAAAATGGTACGCGATTATAACACGTCATTATTCGGGTGTTTTTTTGTCCGCTGAAAAGTTGTACAATAATTTGACTTAAACCCGTGTTTACGAACGCCGTTCGAGTATTTTTCTCATGTAGGACTCGGCAGGAAACCGTTAATTCAATACAATTTTCAATCATCTCAACTACCTTATGTTTTAAAAAAAATACCAAAGTTTAGGGCGTTGTTATAATAGTTCGTCTTTTCTTTTTTTTTTTTTTATCAATTTTACGAGAAAGGGTTGATATTTTGAAAAAATATTACAAGTAAATATTTTAAGGAAACACAGTACTACAATAACAGCTATATACAATTTATCGGTGTCTTTATAAAGATAATCGCAGAGAAATAAAATCAAGAATTCTTCAAAAAAAAAAAAATGAGCAATAACCATATTATATTTATGCATATTTTTCTTGATTACACAAAAATGAGCTGACATAACGAAAAAACCCTTAGATACTTTTGTACGCAATTAATAGGTCTACAGTAATGTTTCTACACGGTTTTTACGTTAATTTAAAAATTGACCTAGTATAAGCTAAAATTACGATAATTTTATCATTTTTCATAGAGTTTTGAGTTTAAGTCGGCACCTGTTAAATATTTTTCAAACCGAGTTTAGGAGATCTATTTTCAGGTTTATTGAAACAAATTTCCGTCGGCACCACTTTAAATTTTAACTACTTCGAAAGTAACCGACATCCTAATGTATACGAGTATGTGTAGAGCATTGGCGTTTTCCGTAATATTTTTGCACGCGGTTTAATACCGTAATGTTATTGAATCGCCGTTGTATTTAATATCCCTCGTTCGGGTATTAAATAATGCAACAGTTATAATTATTATGATACGTTACTTCGACTCGGCCCGTATTGTCGAATAAAATAATTATTATTATTCGTCCGGAATGCCCGCGGGACACTCGCTCATTTACATTATTGTGTTGGTTTTCTCGTGATAATAACATTTGAAAAACGCGGGTCTGGGTGCTTGGAGAACGTTATTGTGTGATGTTGTTATACAACGGGAAACGGAACGCGTAGGTATCGTGGAATTCGTTCGGCGGGCGATCCATAATTATTCGAAATCAGTGATCAAAAATTAATGTGATAAGTGATAATGTTAGGTTGTTATAGGTTAGGTTGAAAACAAATATTAACGATCGAACACGGTTATATTTCTACGTGGGTACAATGGTAAATCAACAGGTCTTTAAAAAGCACGGACGCAAAGGTTCTTATTGAAAATATGGAAAACCCGCAAGACGAATTCTCAACCTTGTGGCGCAATTTATGCTAAAATATCACCGCTAATTATATTCAATATTTTCAAATATTTTCAATACTTAGATACTTGATTATTTTCAAATTTATTTTGTTGGGGTCCTGAGCTACAAACTCCTTAGTATCTTTTCTTCTTCAACTCATTATATTCTTGCTATCGTTGGATGAATTTGTCGCAGCTTTCCGTCACGTTTCCGTGTTGTAGTTACAAGTTCCTTTACTAATCGGGTTCTTCCAAGGTCCCTCTTCTAGGTTTTCTATTCGTTTCAATAATCTTCGTGATTATTGGGTCGTAAAATATCCACCCGGGGTCTTCTTCTTTCCGCGTAGCCTACAGTCAATTTTCTTCAGTTATTGTCTGTAGCGAACTTTCATATCTACGTCATCTTGTCTTTTCTGGATTTAATAAGTACATTTTTAAATACGTTTTTACTTTATCCTGTATTCGTGTTTATAACTAAATATTTCGGTCCGTCATGTTTCACAACCAAAGCTACAATATAAAATACTATTTACATTTTACACCTCGGCGGGGCCTTGTTTTACAATATTGGCACTTTTTCGGTCGATCGCCCAAAATTAGTTCTAACACACTCGCGCATACAATTAATAAAGTCAGCTCATTCGAATCGCGTCCATAAATGATATTTTGTCCGAGGTTACGTCCGCGTTTTATTTTTGACAAAATCTTCGTTTTATACAACCTCTCTTCGTTTGTTGGTCAAATTTGTGCTCGGCATTTTAATATCAGCATCGGTTTGAATTTTTTTTTGACACGAACAACATGAACGAAATTGATTTCTAACAATAAATTTCAAGGTGATATTTACCAACCTATAATAAAGTATCGACGATCGATAATCGACGGATAATTAATATTGACGAGTTTACCATCAAACACGTAGAAATAGAATAACAATATTATTCCTGCGGACGCAATTCGTGTGCAGCCAATAAAGTATACGCGATTTTATTGGTTAAGTGTGTAACCCGTGCTCCGAAGCTTTCAAAGTTCAAAAATAGGTGGTCGAACGATTCCATATCCTCGTTTGTATTCTCGCCGTCAAGTGGCGAATCAATAAAACTATAAAATTGATATGAAATCGTTTAAACAAATTCTGGGCATTGCACGAAATAAATTATCATAGATCTGTATGTTTCAC